GAAGCGGCAACTTGCCGCGGTATCGGATAAATCATTTTTCGTCCTTCGACTTTCATTAATTGATTTTTCGAAATTCAAATCCACGGAAAATGACAGCGAATCAAAGGAAACCGTGAGGGGAATTCTCCCGACGATCACACAGTGACCTGTGTACATCGTAATTCAATACACAGGTGGCCAACAACTTCATTAAATCAGCGTCATGCTCTGTACACGCGCTACATGATCATCAGTGACGTACACGAAGAGAAATTTTCAAAAAGATTCCAAAAAATTATGGAACTCCCAATAACCGACAATTACACCACATTTTTATTATCTATTTCCCTAAGCCCCTTTTTTTTCGATAATCATTGGAAAATAATTTATTAATTCATAACTTATTGGAATTGTTATTCAATGTATGACTCCATTAATTGGGATGCAGAAAGAATACACGAAGAGAAATTTTCAAAAAGATTCCAAAAAATTGTGGAACTCCCAATAACCGACAATTAGGTGCTCCCGAAAATTCAAAAAATAAAATCATCCCAAATCGCAATTAACGCGAAAACTAATATAATAATATAAAAGATAAAAATTTCGTGAAGTTTTCCACTTTTCCCATTTTTTTTATTAAACAATTGCATGAGCGGTGCCGGATGTTGGCTATTTCCAGTTTTTTTCTCATCTTTATCTCCGGAATTAGAGCGGGTTAAAAATTCAAGTTAAAAATTCAGTGTGTTCTCTTGATTTCATTTGGGACCATGGAAAGGCATTAATTCCCTCCATTAGCTATCGAAGGACGCACTCTCCCCGGATTTTACGGCAATGGAGCTCTAATGAAGGAAATCCTAGGGATTTACAACGGAATATTAATTCCGTGGGGGTGAGAATTTACCGGCGCCGTCCGATTCTCTATGTCCAAAAATTACCCTGAAAAACCGCAATCCCATCGTCAACACCTGAATTTTCACCATTTTCCCTGAAATTACCGATTTTCATTCGGTACACAGAAAGAAAAATACTCGAAAAATTACGGAATTTTCATTTCAAATACTGTGAAAATTCCGTAAAAATTTTTGTAACTAGCAGGAATTTTTACGAAACTTTCAAGACAATTTTACGGTACCTCCAGTATTTTTTCCCGAAAAGCAAGGTCACCCCAGGAATACATCAAAGTTCTGTAATTTTTTGGGTATTTTTAGTTTTAGTTTTCTTTTTCTGTACCTCCCCTTTTTTTCTGTTTTAGCCATTATTTTATTTTATTTATTTATCGCCATGTATAGCCCACTCGATCTTTTACATTTTTTGCGGGAACATGGGCAGACTTCCTCGCCAATCGTATGGCATTTACCCCAAGAGCTGTACCATTCCGAAATTCCCCTGCCCCAGGTTCTGCTTTAGCAATTATTACGCAAATATGTTACTTTACCACGGTAATGCAATTTTTCAAAATAAATAATTGAATTAATTCCCTGAATTTAGTCAATTTAGAAATTTTTACCAATAATTCTAGTTTTTCAAAAATAATCGAAAATAAAGAAAAATGTTCCGGCCAATATTTTATTGGATATTATGTAATTTCTACTCCAATTGAAAAATAAATAAATAAGAATAGCAAATGGCCAGGGTAAATAAATAAAAATAGATAAATTGAATAAATTAATAATATACAGAAATAGTTGTCTTCGCGGTGAAAAATAGAATCCCCTAGTTCCCTAGATATAGGGATTTAACCGCAACCAATAATTGCTTTAGCAATTATTATGCAAATATGTTACTTTACCACCGTGATGCCATTTTTAAAAATAAATAATCGAAGGAATTTATTGGAAATTAAATAAATTCGAAATTAATTGAATTAATTAATTTAAAATTAATTAATGGAACGATTATCTCGGTTCCTATTGGTCCTCAGCATATATTGGCAAAGTGGACGAAATTTCACCCCCTCCCTCTTTAAAAATCCCCTGAGATAGGGATGGCTCTCACAAATGCAACCCCTTCTTCCCCCTATCTAGTATTTTCTTCTCTATTTCAGCCATTATCAATATTAATTCATATGAAAATTATTTAGCGAATGTTTTTATTGCGGTGTGAGATTTCCAGGAAAATGCCGAGTTGATATTGCGAAGAATTCCGCGAATTCCTCGCTATTTCACAGACGATGGGGTTTGAAATTCCTCGGCATGTCCCGGAGGGTATCAACGTCCAACAATTCTTTTTCGGATAATCCGGGGAGAATAAAATGCTCTGTGGGATCGGTATGCATAGGTTGACTCATAGGCGTAGATTTTATAATGTTTAGGAAATATCGAATTTCATGG